GGCCTGTAGTAGACTCCTAGCATGACATCTCCCTTATCTGAAACTGCTCTTCAAAAATGCCCCCAGTGGGATGTTGAAAATATCCCGAGTTATTCAAAAATACCATTAGCTATACTTTCCAATGTCCCCATGACATTTGGCTATCTGAGATTGAGAATCCATTTTTTGGCTTAAAATGAGTATTGCATAAATGTGAAACATAAAATGTAAATCTTTATAAGGAAAGTATGGAACACAAGCAGATCTCATGTACCTTGTAGTGTGTGTGGATCTAAATTTTTACTGACAGCTTGACCTTTTGTCATTATTTTTTTTTTGTAAAGGTGACCGAGGAAGTTCGTGCAACTGTTGAAGCCCGTTTGAAGGATTCTTCTGAGTATCAAGCCCAGCTAGAAAAGAAGTTGATGGAGGCAGAGAAGGAAAAGCAAGAACTTCAGGATGAGAAACGTAAAGCTATAGAGAACATGGAGCAACAGGTATAGAGTGCTGAATGTTCACCTTCCTTGTGTCTACAAGAATATGTTTGCAGTTAGTCTTTAATTGTAGTTTTCATTTTAACTTCTATGCAGAAAAGGAAAGCAATGCAGTCTCCAATGCTAATTTGTTGTACCTTTCACAAAAGGTTTTACAGGAGTGTAACTCAATTAAAAGGATGCTATATTAAAATATATGAATACATATATTAAACTCTTATCCACTCAGTCCTTCACTGTTTCTCTTATCTTATACTTTAATCAGTGCTTGAAGGAAATAGCGTTGGCACACTAGCAAAACCAAGCTGCGGTGTTTTGTATGTATGCCAAAATTAGGGCATCCAGGCCCTTTAATTTTCCGTTTTATATTTGGAAAATGGCTGATTTCCTTCCCCTTGGAGTTGAAATTAACAAGACTGCTGTGCAACCAGCATCACTGATGGGAACTCAGCTGGGAAAGCATAGTTAACTATCTCTGAAAAGGGAGTTCAGAAGACCTGAATTCTCACAAAAATGGCTCTATTACGTTAATAAACCAAAATCTAAATCTCACCAGATTATAACCATTTAAAATTCCTCCTTTGGCTCTAAATTATTCATATCTTGTACCTCTTCATGTTCCTTCTTTTAAACACTGTGTTATAGTACTTAATAAATTACATTGTCATATTCAATTTTATTTCCTTCCTATAGCTATCTGAACTGAAGAAGAGTCTCTCTAATGTGCAATCTGAAGTCCAGGAAGCTCTTCAAAGAGCAAGCACAGCAATAAATAATGAACAGCAAGCCAGGCGTGACTGTCAGGAACAAGTAAGTTTTGGTTTTAGCTATAAATGGCCAGATGCAGATTGTTTGTTTGATAGTTTTGTCTCTGTCTGGAGCCAAGGACAAGTTTAACTTTCAGTGCAGTTGGTCAGAGAAATTAGTGGAAATAGAAGAGTAATACAGGAGCAGTTCGTCCATTCCTATGACATGATTGTTTCCTAGACTGTATTTCCTGGTGCGTTATTGCCTTGATGTAATCTAAATTTTAAATAACTAGAGTGTTAATTAAATAGACTTTGAATATAAAATCCTGCACTTGTATAAGGCCCCAGTATGAACCTGCCGCGGCAGGGAGAGGCGCCCCTCCCTTGGCGTGGCCCAGCCCTGCTGGAGCTGCCGCAGCCGCGAAGAGGTGCCTCTTCCCCAGCCCCGAACTTCCGCGGCACAAGAGGTCTGGGAGAGTCCTCTCTTCCCACCGCAGCCCTGGGGCAGCCTGTACCCCAAACCCCTCATCCCCGTCCCCACCCCAAAGCCCACACCCCAACCCTCTGCCCCAGCCCTGAGCCTCCCAGCCCCTCATATCCAGCCCCACCCCAGAGCCCGCACCCCCCAGCCAGAGCCCTCATCCCCCCCACCCTAACCCTTTGCCCCAGCCCTTAGCCCCCTCTCACACTCCAAACCCCTCAGCCCCACCGCCACCACATGAATTTTGTTATATGCACCAATATGAAGGTGATGTGTCAAACATCACCTCCATATTGGTGCACATAACAAAATTCATTCCACACATGGACGTAAAAAATTAGAGGGAACACTGATTGTGGGATGTACTTAACTGATCTTAATGGATTCTTACTTAACTCTCCAGAAGAAGGTGAAAACTAAAGTTCTCGCCAGTATATATTAGGGGAAAATTTATTTCCAAATCCAATTTTGACAATTACTTAAAGTGCATGCTAGCAGCAATAACTGTAGCAAAACATTTTTGCCAGTACTCTGAGAAGATAAGTTTGATGTCAAGTAACTGCTGGTTTTTACAGTGAATCCTAGTCACACTTATTTTTCTGCATCTGAGAATTCCAATAACTCTTTCAGAAAACTCCATTGTGTAGCTTATGTAGATTGAGTGTTTAATTGCCAGGGATTTTCATGTGTCAGATAATAAGATTGAATCAATCTTTTGCTGGTCCTTTCCCCCCTTTTTGTATTTATTTCTCTCCATAGTTGCAATCAGCAGAAATACTTGAACAAGCTCCTATCCCTCTCAATGCAGAATTTAAAGGAAGAGGGCTGGTAATAGGGCATATAAAAAGTGGATTTCATCCAGCTGGCTGCCAGAGCGTTAATATTTAGGGATATATTCAAATCTGCATATCTGTTTTCTCAGGCTTTTGAGAATCACATGGGTTAAGGGATAGGGACACTTTGAAGAGGTGGCTTAGATTTTATTATTAGTGGCTTATTTTGTTTATCAGGATTGATATACAAGAGAAGACAAGTCTAATATTGGGAAATTTCCCTTTTTGTATTTATGTAACTTTTGAACGAGCTATGGAGGGTATGTGATATACTTGAAGAAATAACAAAGTACACTGCTTCTCACAGGCAAAGATAGCTTCAGAAGCTCAAAATAAGTATGAACGGGAATTGATGCTTCATGCAGCTGATGTTGAGGCCTTGCAGGCTGCTAAAAGTCAAGTTGCTAAGAATTCAGCAATAAGGCAGCAGTTAGAGGAAGCTACTCAGAAAGCTGAATCTACACTTCTGGAGTGCAAAGCCTCATGGGAGGAGCGGGAGAGAATGTTAAAGGTAAGATTTTTCTGGCTTCAGTGACTTTTCTGAAGTGTATAGATATCTGTAGTGTTCAGACCCATGCAAATTAAAATTCATCATGACCAAACAGAAAAATATTTCTGTCGTAGGATGAAGCTGCAAAGCTTGGGTCTCGCTGTGACGACTTAGAAAAACAAAACCGATTATTACATGAGCAACTGGAAAATCTAAGTGACAAGATGGTGACCTCTGTGAAGGAATCCATGCCAAGTGCATTGAATGTTTCTCTCAATGAAGAAGGCAAATCACAAGAACAAATCTTAGAAATTCTCAGGTAAATTTAATCCTAAACTATTTTCCTTAGTCGTGAGTAATTTCAGTTGCTGAACTGGTTAGTTCACCTTCATTTTCTTTTTTGGAAAACACAAAAAATTTCAAAATTAAAGTGGATTAATTTTTAACTGATATTAGCTATGATGACAGCCTTTTGCCCTGCTTCAGTAGTAGCTGAGAAGGTGGAATTGCAACTGCTGAATGGTCCCAAGTATCATATGTAAAAGATGTAAGCAGAGACTTGTCTGAAGGGCTTGGTATCTCCTGGTAAATGTTGGTGGCAAGAACATTCCACAGTAGGATCAAGTGTTCTTGTTTCCTTTATTTATTGGTAGATATTAGGATTTGCTTTTGAGTCTCTTCAGTCAACTGCCATTTTTATTTTCTTTTAGCAGCAGGCGTCATTCTGACATGGGTGTCTAGATTTAAAATTCCTTTTTACGCTTGAGTTCAAATAACCCCTTTTCTTATAGATTTATACGCCGAGAGAAGGAGATTGCGGAAACAAGGTTTGAGGTGGCCCAGGTGGAGAGCTTGCGTTATCGTCAAAGGGTGGATCACCTGGAAAGGGAGCTCCAGGAGTTGCACGATAGTCTGAACGCAGAGAGAGAAAAGGTGCAGGTGTGTACATGAACTGTTGGTTACACTTTCAACAAACTGGCTGAAATGTCTTCCTCCTTATTCAAGTCTTTTCCTACTTCAACTGCATACGTCTATGCTGCAGCTGGGAGTGTGTTTCTGAGCTTGGATAGACCGAAGTACTAGCTTAGCTCAAGCTAGCTCGCTAAAAATAGCAGCGTAGCCGGTGATAGCACAGGAGGCGGCTCAGGCTACCAGTCAGAGTCTGAAGCCAGCCAGACCCCCTGAGTATGTACTTAGGCAGCTAGCCTGAGCCACCCATCTGTGCTATCCTCAGCTATGCTGCTATTTATAGCAGTATTTTTAGAGCTCTGTTTGAGCTAGCATGTGTCTACCTGAGTTGGGAAGCATGTCTCTCATCTGCGGCGGAAACATAAGCTAAAAGCTAAGAATTGTGCAAGAGTCCATTGTATTTGGATTGGGATTGAATTGGGATTGATATTTGTCCAGTTGCACTAACTTTGCTCCTAGCCCGATGAACTTGCTCTCAAAAGCAGGATAGCAATTATGCTTCGAGAACTTGTTTTAACATGTATAGTTGTGCAGAATAGATATTTAGGAAGCAGTCAAAAGAAATGTTTGGAGAAATGGTACAGAGAATCAAATGGGGAAGCCTGCTATTTTCAAGGTTTTTAAACAATATATTAATTTCTTCATTTAACTCTTTTAAAAGTGTTTACATGAGTTTATGTACACAGTGATAGTTTTCTAAAATGGAATGCCAGTGAATGTTGTTTGAATGTTTATGTCCAAAGAAAGCTAAACCAGTTTGGATGATTTTCTTTGACCTAACAGATAACAGCAAAAACAATTGCTCAGCATGAAGAACTAATGAAAAAGACGGAAACCATGAATGTGTTGATAGAAACCAACAAGATGCTGAGAGAAGAGAAAGAGAGACTAGAACAAGAACTACAACAAATGCAGGCAAAGGTTAGTGATGAGACTTATGCACAGAGTTCTCAGACACTCGGTATTTGAAGGAGAACTTGAATGAATCATCATCTGGGTTTGTTAGACATATAAAATATCACTAATTGCAGTAACTGTATGCTTAAAACTTGATTATAAAGTGGGGGACAATCACTTCAGACACAACTGAGAGGATTTTCAATATAATTAAGATGTCAGAGGACAAGGCCCTGTTTTCTGTGCAAAAAGTTTCAGACAGTTTTAAATAAAGTAGAAAAATCAGTAGATACTCTTGTTTCAGAGTAGCAGCCGTGTTAGTCTGTATCCGCAAAAAGAACAGGAGTACTTGTGGCACCTTAGAGACTAACACATTTATTTGAGCATAAGATTTCGTGGGCTACAGCCCACTTCATCGGATGCATAGAATGGAACATATAGTAAGGAGATATATATACACATAGAGAACATGAAAAGGTGGGAGTTGTATATATCTCCTTACTATATGTTCCATTCTCAAATGAATTTGTTAGTCTCTAAGGTGCCACAAGTACTCCTGTTCTTTTTGTAGATACTCTTGGTTAACAATATGCTTTGATCAGGACTCTCATTAAAATAAAAGAAAGATAAAGGGATGGACTGAAGTGGTGGGCCATAATTTTATTAACTTAAGCCACATATAACACTGGGCATGAGTGCTATCTCACACACCAGGAATTTAATGGTGTCCATTGTGATTTACAGGCCTCCCACTCCCATCATATAACCAGTAACTCAGGGTTGACCCTCCTCAGTCTACCCCTAGAACTCAGCTCACTTCTGAATCTTCTCCTCCTCTTCCCCACCCACTTCCCCCCCATACACACACAAGATGAGTAGAGGATATTAAGGGGGACCTCAACTTGTGAAGGCTTCAGGCCTCCTCTTTTACAGGCACAAGGTCCACCAGTGAAATCTTAAGTGTCATTTACTTCTGGGAGTGCTGCCCCTTTTAGCCTTTATCTGCGCTAGCCAGTGGAGACACCCCTGAAAGCATGGAAAGGGGTTTAAATTGGCCTTTGTGCTCCACCATCAATCAGCTTTCCCACTTCTCCCCTGACTGGCCAGTGGGAGGCGGAGAACCCGAGGAGGAGGAGGGACCTAGCCATGGCCTTCTCAGGCATGCGCTCTCCCATCTCTCCTTCTGGGCTGTACATCACTCTGCCAGTCTGACCAACATCCCCGCTGCTCCCCCAGTGAGATGGGGGTATATTTTAATACCTGATGATTTCCCAGGTGCGTAAGCTAGAGGCAGACATCCTACCTTTACAAGAGTCTAATGCTGAGCTAAGTGAAAAAAGTGGAATGCTTCAGGCAGAAAAGAAGCTGTTGGAAGAGGATGTCAAACGTTGGAAAGCCCGGACCCAGGTGAGTGCGTCTTTTCACAGAGGAAATCCAAATAAAAGAACTCAAATGTTGGTAGATCAACCCCATTTCCTGAAAAAGTGGTGGAAGACTGAAATGAATTTGATTTGTGAAACACCACCAATGAATATGTATTTATAAAGCTTGAATTTGTTAGGATACCATGAGTTTGCCTTGTCACTCTGCCTGATATGGGACACAGCTAAGAGCACCAATCTCAGGTCAGATTGCCAGAATACAGGGCATATACCCCAGGCTGGTGGTGTAGTCTATCCTAAGTCTTCACCAAACCGGTAAAAATGTGTGCTTCCAAATTACCATACTAGTTATTATGGAGCCACAGACAGTCCCCGTCAGGCCCTCATGCATTGTCCAGACAAACCATTTATCTGTGATAAATGATTATTAAAACCAGAAATAACATATATTAGATTTTTCCTGTTCCAAAGAACCAGCCACTTACCCACAGATCAAAATATACTTCATGATCTCACCCAAAAAACATGCTTCAGCCAATCTTTAGTAACTAAAGATTTATTAATAAGGAAAAGAAGAGTGATTAAAAGGTTAAAATGAATCATATACGTTACAGTTGATTTCAGAGTTTGTAGATCAGGATAATAGCAGTGATGTTAAATCAGCCAGTTTGTAATAAGTCTCTCTGGGTCATCCAAATGATTGGGAATCCTCAGTCCATTGTTTAAAGCTTCCCTTTGTTATAGAAATCATAGTCCAGAGATGCGGAGCAAGAAAGAGGCAAAAGGATAATGTCACAGTCTACATTTATATTCTCAGTCCATGTGCATGGAAAGTTAGTCTCAAACATGGAGTCATGAATCACATGTTCTACATGCCCTTGCAGATTCATGAGGCATCAATTGTCTACATGCTCTCTGAGGCATAGTTGGAAGGGGCCCACTGGAAGAGTTGATTCTCCTTATTGGTCCATCAACCATAGCTGACTGGTCTTGATTTAAATCTGTCTTGTATGTGTTACCCAGGAACACAACATGTTTGAGATACAAACACATAGCAAAGATTCATAACTTCGTATGCAATGATACTACACGCATATAAACAGGATAACATTGTTCAACAGCTTACAACTTTTCCAATGATAACTTACAAGGTATACTTTGTTTGATATTTATCACAATTGTGCAACAGTGGTGATACATTAGTGGTGATACCTTAGTGTAAACATGGCATCTTTTTTTTATACAATATCACATGTCTAACTTAGAATGCAGTTCTAAACCATCATTGACAGAGCACAAAAGCAACAATCACCAACTTGTATAGATTCTGTAGAATTCTAATATGTTTTCTTTTTGCAAGAATCAAGACTATTCAGATTACAAATATCTTTCAGCATTTACTGAGCCAACAGAAAGACACTGATCTTGAAGAATATCGGAAACTCCTTTCAGAGAAGGAGGCAAATACCAAACGCATACAACAGATGAGTGAAGAAACAGGCAGGCTTAAAGCAGAAATAGCAAGGTACGGTATAAGGAAACTTGTGGAAAGTTCTGCATACTAAAAGTCTGTTTTACTATGTAATATTTAAAATAAGACAACATCAGAAAATGAAACTCCTAAATGTCCCTATATAAGTGTTAAGCCTTTGGTGTTTGTTCAGCAATTTAACTCCTTTTTATACTTCTAGTTATAAAAAGTGAAGTGTTAATTTATTTGGAAACAGGACATTTAAAATAAGTAGCCAAATGACTCCAAATTTAACTTTTATAATTTGATTCAATATGGGTACTTTACTTTAAATATATATTCACTCATGGTGACTATGACAGTACAAAAATATAGCAATATCAAAATGTATTGACTTTGTTTATCTCTTGGCAAGATCTCATGCATCTCTTCATCCAATTTTGGTATTTAGATCTAATGCATCTCTGACTACAAGCCAGAATCTGGTCCAGACCCTCAGAGATGAGCTATCTAAAATAAGAACTGAAAAGGACACTCTTCAGAAGGAGCTAGAGAATAAAGTGGCTGACATACAAGAAAAAGTCAAAACTATAACACAGGTCAAGAAAATTGGACGACGATACAAGACTCAGTATGAAGAGCTGAAAGCACAATATGACAAGGTAGATGTAAATTCTGATTATTTAAGAAATTGAACAGTACATTTTCAGCAGAGTCTTCATATGTATTACTGTTTATAATATCTGAATTAGTTTTAAAAACTAAAAACGTGCCTAACATTACTTCTGATACAGAAAGTTGCTTATGAAATTCTGGCTTTAACTTTGAAATGTCCAAAGAATAATATGCTGTATGTTGTTTGAATGTGTGATGTATGAAACAGCTCTTAAGAGAGCATCATAATTCCTTTCTGTGGGTAGGTCTACACTTACCTCCGGGTCTGGCGGTAAGCAATCGATCTTCTGGGATCGATTTATCGCGTCTTGTCTAGATGCGATAAATCGATCCCAGAAGTGCTCGCCGTCAACGCCGGTACTCCAGCTCGGCGAGAGGAGTACGCGGCATCGACGGGAGAGCCTGCCTGCCGCGTCTGGACCCGCGGTAAGTTCGAACTAAGGTACTTCGAATTCAGCTACGTTATTAACGTAGCTGAATTTGCGTACCTTAGTTCGAAGTGGGGGGTTAGTGTGGACCAGGCCTGTATCCTGCTTAGACCATTTCTGATGATCAGTGCCCATCTGGTAGTGTTGTAGAAAGCTATCACTTTTATACACATCTGATGGCTCCCTTTTAAAAAACAAAACAAAAAACCCACAACCCAGACCTGACCAATTTGCAATGTTTCAGGTGGTTGCTGAGACATCAACACAGTCTTATGCAGAAGAACAAGAACAGCAAGCTTCTGTCCAGGAAATACAAGAACTGAAAGAGTCTCTCAGCCAGGCTGAGGTAAAGACAAAAGCCCTGGAGAATCAGATTGAAAATTTACAGAAGGTAAGGAGAGAGCAATATTGTTAGTTTCTACATATGTTTTAAAAGCACTTTACAAACAAATCTTCACTGTACCCTGTGAAGTATGTGTGTTCTCTCTCTCTCTATCTGTGTTGGAGGAGCTGGAATATTATACTACTGAGAACTTTTACTATCTTAACTAAAATGATTAGTTAGTACCTCAGCTCATTGGCTGTGTTTTGTGTCTGACGCACTCACCACCTAGTTTTAAGGTAGCTTATTATAGCTGGTAGCTAAATTATCTCTTTTTTTTTTTTCTGCAGACTATAGCAGAGAAAGAAAGTGAAGCCAGAAGTCTTCAGGAACAGATATCTCAGCTACAGTCAGAACTTTCTCGTCTTCATCAAGATTTGCAAGAGAGAACAACACAGGAAGAACAGCTCAGGCAACAGATAACTGAGAAGGAGGAGAAGACTAGGAAGACCCTGCTGGCTGCCAAGCAGAAAATTGCACAGTTAGCTGGTAAGTTACCCTACTCTGTCTTAAGGGTTTTCCATTTTTTTCATTGGTTTTATGGAGAAACTTTCTGGGCTGAAACCCTGGAGAAAAATGTGGTCTTCTTGGGTAAACTTCATCCAGAAATTAACTATGATGTAAACTGTAAGTTTCTAAAATTAAACTTTGAATGTAGCTGTTCATTGGGCAGGTTTTTCAGCTATATACAGTTAGTTATGCAGTGTTGGAATCTGTAAAAATGTTTGACTTGGTATCAGTTAAGAGGCCAATAACTAATCTGAGAGTTATTTTAGATGAGTCAGAGGATATTGTCCTTGCTTATCACCCAGGTATTTATCCCACAGAAGTTACCCGCACAAAGGACATTCCTTTCTTTCCGCAAGTTCAGTGTTAATCAGGAAGGAATGACATTACTAGTGCCTGCTTTTTGAGGGTTGGAGAAAACATACAGTCCTTTGATATTTCAAATTTACAACTGCTAACCATGTTTTCAAAAAAATCGCACAAGCTATCACTAAGAGATAGTTTTATCACTTACAATTTGTTAGTACACATAGGTCTCTGCTTAAAGAATTTCATTAACTTATAAAAGCAAACAGACTTTCAGTGCACAAAGATTTGGTAGGCAGTTTTACAGTGAAAAAACGGAATGCTTTGTTACTTGATTAGGTACAAAAGAACAGCTGACAAAAGAAAATGACGAGTGGAAACAAAAGAGTAGTGCATTAGAAGAGCAAAAGACTGAGTTGGAGGTGCGGATGAGTGCACTCAAATCACAGTATGAAGGTCGCATTTGCCGCCTGGAGAGAGAGCTAAGAGAGCAACAAGAGAGGCACCACGAACAGCGAGATGAGCCTCCAGAGTCTACTAATAAGGTAAGGTACAAGATATGTGAAGCTTTTGTTAGCTGTATTAGCATATGTAGTGAAACAGAATGGTTTGTGTCTAACAATGTGTGGGCTTTGAGTTCACAGTAACGGAGCAGTTGTGAATTAGAACAGTTCTTGTGTGGTGCCCCTTCCCTAATACCATATCTCTGATAGCAGGTGGAAATTCAACAGACACAACCTCTTCCAATGGTGCTTCCAGTCTTTTTAATACCCAGAATAATGTGGCTGGAAACCCAAAACAGTACATACCACCTCCAGTGTCCCAAAGCCAGTTGGTCTTGGAAGGAAGGGAAACAGCTCTTCGGTGCATTAGACGTTAATAACAAAAAATTTGTTCTGGTGGGATTCAAACTTTCCATTGCTAACGAAAGCATATAATTGTTTTACTGACTAGGTTTCACCAGAAGAGCGTTCAAACAGTGCTCCTCTCATTGATTCTGTCTGCAGTCTTATATGCACATACAATATCACAGGACTATGGTGCTAACACTTTGAGCTTGCATCCTGGTCCAACATTAAATATGATTCTTTCCAATAGAACAGAATTAATCAGTACTCTTTTTGGCTGACTGAAAAGACTGCATTATCATGGGTATCCCAGAAAATACTTGACTTGCTTCAGCAAGCTCAGAATATTTGAGAGTAAGCATGGAACTTCACCTGGTATTCTGCCAAATCCATAGTTGAAACAATTGTAATTAAGGAGATCTGTCTACTAAAGCAGTAATCAAAATTGCATTTTTGGATTATTTTATAGAGCCTGCTGGCTTAATGTTTGGCTATGGAATCATATAATGTACAGAAACACTTATGTCTAATAGGTTCCGGAACAGCAGAGGCAGATTACACTCAAATCTACTCCAGCTTCAGGTGAAAGAGGAATGTAAGTTGCAGGTTCTTTTTTGTCCAGTTGCTATGTCTATATTTTTTGTTTTGAACTGTAGGAATGAATTAAAATGAATTAAAGGCTTTTGCATTTAAGAATTTTTGAACAGCTTTTGGAAGTTACTGACTGCTTAATACTAATACTGAGCTATGGACTAACTGAACTGTCTGCCTCCTGAGGCAAATCTAACCAGTTAAGTCATTTACTGCTAAACTGTCACATTTAGGTACACCGTGAACTTGAAATCTAGTCCATTTGAAAAATTATAAGCCATTTCAAATACTACGCCAGGCTGTGAAGATGTATAATCTTTATGGCTTTATAATCTGACATTTCTGTTCTTGGAACAGTTTTGACCCCGGGTGTTCTTGTAACAATGATACACATCTTTGATTTTTAAAATCCTGGTATCTCTTTAAAATAAAGTTCTGAACTTGAGAAGTGACTGTAAAAATCACTCACATCATTCTTATTCAGCACATATTCTCCCTCTGTATTAAGCCATATCGTTGACTTCAGTGACAATTATAAGCCTGTGTCTACACTGCCACTTTCAGCGCTAAAACTTTAGTTGTTCAGGAGTGTGAAAAACACACCCCTGTGAGACAAAAGTTTTAGTGCTAAAAAGCGCCAGTATAGACAGCGCTTTATCACCTGGAGCCATGCAGATTTCTAGTTAATCACATCTATCAAGGCTATGGGGTTGTGCACCGAGCATAATTTGCCCTGCAGAATCTTTTCTAGCGGAGATACGCAAGAATGATAATTGTGAACAAAACTTTGAAGGTAGCTGTTGATTATGGAATCATAAATATGTAGTGCTGGAAAGGACCCCGAGAGGTCATTAAGTCCAGCCCCCTGCACTAAGGCAGGACCAGGTAAACCTAGACCATCCCTGACAGATGTTTGTCCAACCTGATTTTGAAAACATCCAGTGATGGGGATTTACAACTTCACTTGGTAACCTCTTGTTAATTTAACTGCCCTTGTAGTTTTTCCTAATATCTAACCTAAATCTCCCTTTCTGCAGATTAAGCCATTATATCTTGTCTCCCCTTCAGTGGACATGGAGAACTAATCACCATCCTCTTTATAACAGCCGTTAACGTATTTGAAGACTGTTTATCATGCCCTCCCCCCCGGTTGTCTTTTCTCTAGACTTAAACCTACCCAGTTTTGTTAAACCTTTCCTCATAGGTCAGAATTTCTAAACATTTTATCCTAGGCTAGGACTATAACAGCGTTTAAAAGAGAACTGGATAAATTCATGGTGGTTAAGTCCATTAATGGCCATTTGTTAGAGGATGGAGATGGATGGCAGGAGAGAGATCACTTGATCATTGCCTGTTGGTCCACTCCCTCTGGGGCACCTGGCATTGGCCACTGTCAGTAGATAGGATAGTGGGCTAGATGGACCTTTGGTCAGACCCGGTACGGCCGTTCTTATGTTCTTATCATTATTGTTAGAACATAAGAACGGCCATACTGGCTCAGACCAAAGGTCCATCTAGCCCAGTAACCTGTCTTCCAACAGTGGACAATGCCAGGTGCCCCAGAGGGAATGAACAGAACAGGTAATCCATCCCCTGTTACCTATTCCCAGCTTCTGGCAAACAGAGGCTTGAGACACCATCCCTGCCAATCATGGCTAATAGCCATTGATGGACTTATCATCAATGAACTTATCTAGTTCTTTTTTGAACCCTGTTATAGTCTTGGCCTTCACAACATCCTCTGGCAAAGAGTTCCACGGGTTGACTGTGTTGTGTGAAGAAATACTTCCTTTTGTTCGAATACTTCCTGCTGCCTGTTAATTTCATTTGGTTACCCCTAGCTCTTGTGTTATGAGAGGGAGTAAATAACACTTCCTTATTTACTTTCTCCACACCAGTCATGATTTTATAGACCTGTATCATATCCCCCCTTATTCAGACTTTTCAGCTTGGAAAAGAGATGACTCTTATTAATCTCTCCTCATACGGAAGCTGTTCCATGCCCCTAATCAATTTTGTTGCCCTTTTCTGAACCTTTTCCAATTCCAATATATCTTTTTTTGAGATGGGGTGACCACATCTGCATGCAGTATTCAAGATGTGGGCATACCATGGATTTATATAGAGGCAATATGATATTTTTGTCATCTTATTTATCCCTTTCTTAATTGTTGCCAACATTCTCTTAGCTTTTTTGACTGCTGCTACATGTTGAGTGGATGTTTTCAGAGAACTATCCACAATGATGCCAAGATCTCTCTCTCTCTCTCTCTCTCTCTCTCGTGGTAACAGCTAATTTAGACCCCATGATTTTATATGTATAGTTGGGATTATGTTTTCCAATGTGCATTACTTTGCATTTATCAACATTAAATTTCATCTGCCATTTTGTTACCCCATCACCCAGTTGTTGCTCTCCTCTGGTCTCTTCAATTATAAACATCTTTTCTAAAGTGTGGCGCCCAGAACTGGATACTACTCTATCTCAGGCCTAACCAATGCCGAGTAGAGCGGGACAATTACTTACCATGTCTTACATACGGCACTCCTGTTAATACACCCCAGAATGATATAAGCCTTTTTTGCAACTGCAGCCATTGTTGATTTTCAATCTGTGATCCACTATAATTTCCAGATACTTTTCAGCAGAACTACCACCTAGCTAGTTATTTCCCATTTTGTGTTCTGTGACAGACCCAGACCAGTGGGGTACAGAAGTCTGGTAGAGGGCAAATATACTGGTAACTGGATGACTAGTTTTCTGTTCCCTGAGTGATCAGAACAGGGGCCGAACTAGAGAAATCAGGAACCTGCTAGAACCAGTTAAAGCAGGCAGGCTAATTAAGAAGAAGCTGCTAGAATCAATTAAGGCAGGCTCATCAGGGCACCTGAGTTTTAAAAGGAGCTCAATTCAGTTTGTGGTGGGAGTGTGAGGAGCTGGGAGCAAGAGGCGCAAGGAGCTGAGACTGAGAGGGTGTGCTGCTGGAGGACTGAGGAGCACCAGCGTTATCAGACACCAGGAGGAAGGTCCTGTGGTGAGAATAAGGAAGGTGTTTGGAGGAGGCCATGGGGAAGTAGCCCAGGGAGTTGTAGCTGTCATGCAGCTGTTACAGGAGGCACTATAGACAGCTGCAGTCCACAGGGCCCGAGGCTGGAACCCGGAGTAGAGGGTGGGCCCGGGTTCCCCCCAAACTTCCCAATTGACCTGGACTGTGGGTTCTTCCAGAGGGGAAGGTCTCTGGGCTGTTCCCCAACCCACATGGTGAATCTCTGAGACAAGAAAATCTGCCAATAAGCGCAGGACCCACCAAGATAGAGGAGGAACTTTGTCACAGTTCGTTATTTGATTTTTTTTTTCCTTCCTAAGTGTGGTACTTTGCACTTGTCTTTATTGAATTTCATCTTGATTTCAGTCCAATTCTCTAATTTTCAAGGTTGGTTTTGAAT